AGAGACAGAGAGAGAGGCCAGAGAGAGAGGAGAGCCAGAGAGAGAGCAGAGAGAGAGCAGAGAGAGAGAGCCAGAGAGAGAGAGCCAGAGAGAGAGAGAGGAGAGAGAGAGAGAGCAGAGAGAGAGAGAGCAGAGAGAGAGAGCCAGAGAGAGAGAGAGAGAGAGAGAGAGAGACCAGAGAGAGAGCAGAGAGAGAGAGCAGAGAGAGAGGCCAGAGAGAGAGAGAGAGAGAGAGAGAGAGGCCAGAGAGAGAGCAGAGAGAGAGAGCAGAGAGAGAGCCAAGAGAGAGAGATCAGAGAGAGAGAGAGAGATTGAGCCAGAGAGAGAGAGAGATGCCCAGAGAGAGAGAGATGCCAAGAGACCAGAGAGAGATGCCAGAGAGAGAGAGATGCCAGAGGTAGAGAGAGCAGATGCCGAGAGAGAGAGAGATTGCCAGAGAAGAAGAGAGCAGAGAGAGAGAGCCAGAGAGAGAGAGATGCCAGAAGAGAGAGAGATTGCCAGAGAGAGAGAGATGGCCAGAGAGAGAGAGATGCCAGAGAGAGAGAGATGCAGAGAGAGAGAGATGCCAGAGAGAGAGAGATGCAGAGAGAGAGATGCCAGAGAGAGAGAGATGCCAGAGAGAGGAGAGATGCCAGAGAGAGAGAGCCCAGAGAGAGAGATGCCAGAGTAGAGAGATGAGCAGAGAGAGAGATGCCAGAGAGAGAGATGCCAGAGAGAGAGAGGAGTGCAGAGAGAGAGAGAGATGCCAGAGAGAGAGATGCCGAGAGAGAGAGGGAGGGCTGCAGAGAGAGAGCGGATGCAGAGAGCCAGAGAGAGATAGGGATGCCAGAGAGAGAGAGAGAGAAGAAGGGATGCCAGAGAGAGAGAGGGATGCCAGAGAGAGAGAGAGCCAGAGAGAGAGAGGGATGCCAGAGAGAGAGAGGGGATGCCAGAGAGAGAGGAGAGATGCCAGAGAGAGAGAGAGATGCCAGAGAGAGAGAGAGATGCCAGAGAAGAGAGAGATAGAGATGCCAGAGAGAGAGATGCCAGAGAGAGAGATGAGAGAGAGATGCCAGAGAGAGAGAGATGCCAGAGAGAGAGAGATGCAGAGAGAGAGAGATGCCAGAGAGAGAGAGAGAGAGAGAGATGCCCAGAGAGAGAGAGATGCCAGAGAGAGAGAGATGCCAGAGAGAGAGAGATGCCAGAAAGAGATGCCAGAGAGAGAGAGATGAGAGAGAGAGCCAGAGAGAGAGATGCCAGAGAGAGAGAGAGAGAGATGCCCAGAGAGAGAGAGAGAGAGATGCCAGAGAGAGAGAGAGAGAGAGAGAGAGCCAGAGAGAGAGAGATGCCAGAGAGAGAGAGATGCCAGAGAGCCAGAGATGCCAGAGAGAGAGATTGCCAGAGAGAGAAGAGATTGCAGAGAGAGAGAGAGAGATGCCAGAGAGAGAGAGAGAGAGAGATGCCAGAGAGAGAGAGAGAGAGCCAGAGAGAGAGAGAGCCAGAGAGAGAGCAGATGCCAGAGAGAGAGAGAGAGAGATGCCCAGAGAGAGAGAGAGAGATGCCCAGAGAGAGAGATGCCAGTGAGAGAGAGAGTATGCAGAGCACAGGAGAGAGATGCCAGAGAGAGAGAGCCAGAGAGAGAGATGCCAGAGAGAGAGATGCAGAGAGAGAGATGCCAGAGGAGAGATGCCAGAGAGAGAGAGAGAGATGCCAGAGAGAGACCAGAGAGAGACCAGAGAGAGAGAGAGAGCCAGAGAGAGACCAGAGAGAGAGACCAGAGAGAGAGATGCCTGTGTTGTGTTTTGCAGAGTGGTGAGACAGAGATGAACACAAGAACCAGAGAGAGAGATGCCAGATAGAGAGAGATGCGAGAGAGAGAGAGAGATTCCTGAGAGAGAGAGAGAGAGAGCCAGTAGCAGCAAGAGAGAGAGAGTGAGAGAGAGAGAGAGATGCCAGAGAGAGAGAGAGAGAGAGATGCCAGAGAGAGAGAGATGCCGAGGAGAGAGAGAGAGAGAGAGAGAGATGCCAGAGAGAGAGAGATGCCAGAGCAGAGAGAGATGCCAAGAGAGAGAGAGATGCCAGAGAGAGAGAGATGCCAGAGAGAGAGAGATGCCAGAGAGAGAGAGATGATGCCAGAGAGAGAGAGATGCCAGAGAGAGAGAGAGATGCCAGAGAGAGATGAGAGGAGAGCCAGAGAGATGCCAGAGAGAGAGAGGAGAGATGCCAGAGAGAGAGAGAGATGCCAGAGAGAGAGAGAGATGCAGAGAGAGAGAGAGATGCCAGAGAGAGAGAGAGAGATGCCAGAGAGAGAGAGAGATGCCGAGAGAGAGAGATGCCAGAGAGAGAGATGCCAAGAGAGAGAGATGCCAGAGAGAGATGCCAGAGAGAGATGCCAGAGAGAGAGAGATGCCAGAGAGAGAGAGATGCCAGAGAGAGAGAATGCCCAGAGAGAGAGAGATGAGAGAGAGAGATGCCAGAGAGAGAGAGATGCCAGAGAGAGAGAGAGATGCCAGAGAGAGAGAGATGCCAGATGCCAGAGAGAGAGAGAGATGCCAGAGAGAGAGAGAGATGCCAGAGAGAGAGAGATGCCAGAGAGAGAGAGATGCCAGAGAGAGATGCCAGAAGAGATGCCAGAGAGAGATGCCAGAGAGAGATGCCAGAGAGAGATGCCAGAGAGAGAGAGATGCCAGAGAGAGAGAGAGATGCCAGAGAGAGAGAGAGATGCCAGAGAGAGAGAGAGATGCCAGAGAGAGAGAGAGATGCCAGAGAGAGAGAGAGATGCCAGAGAGAGAGAGAGATGCCAGAGAGAGAGAGATGCCAGAGAGAGAGAGATGCCAGAGAGAGAGAGAGAGATGCCAGAGAGAGAGAGAGATGCCAGAGAGAGAGAGAGAGATGCCAGAGAGAGAGAGAGAGATGCCAGAGAGAGAGAGATGCCAGAGAGAGAGAGAGAGATGCCAGAGAGAGAGAGAGAGAGAGATGCCAGAGAGAGAGAGAGAGATGCCAGAGAGAGAGAGAGATGCCAGAGAGAGAGAGAGAGAGAGAGAGATGCCAGAGAGAGAGAGATGCCAGAGAGAGATGCCAGAGAGAGACCACTCCTGATGCCTGTGTGTGTGTTTGCAGGTGTTGGTGGGACAGTTGTATGCAACACAAAAAACCAGAAAGAGAGAGAGAGATGCCAGAAAGAGAGAGATGCCAGAGAGAGAGAGAGAGATGCCAGAGTGAGAGAGAGAGATGCCAGAGTGAGAGAGAGAGATGCCAGAGAGAGAGAGAGAGATGCCAGAGAGAGAGAGAGAGAGGCCAGAGAGAGATGCCAGAGAGAGAGAGAGAGGCCAGAGAGAGATGCCAGAGGGAGATGCCAGAGAGAGAGAGAGATGCCAGAGAGAGAGAGAGAGATGCCAGAGAGAGAGAGAGAGATGCCAGAGAGAGAGAGAGAGAGAGGCCAGAGAGAGATGCCAGAGGGAGATGCCAGAGAGAGAGAGAGATGCCAGAGAGAGAGAGAGAGAGATGCCAGAGAGAGAGAGAGAGATGCCAGAGAGAGAGAAAGAGATGCCAGAGAGAGAGAGAGATGCCAGAGAGAGAGAGAGATGCCAGAGAGAGAGAGAGATGCCAGAGAGATGCCAGAGAGAGACCACTCCTTATGCCTGTGTGTGTGTTTGCAGGTGTTGGTGGGACAGTTGTATGCAACACAAAAATCCATCATCGAGTGAAAGAACGCCACAAAACGATGACGTCACAGCCACGACTGAGAGAGGACTGCTGCATCTTGGGAAACGTAGTCCTGAACGTCTATCTGCTATTAAAATAACTCGTTCAGGGTTTTATTCTGAATTTGAACTGGTCCCAAAGTAATGTTTCAGAATAATTTAAAGCTGGGCTACGTAACTTGTAGGTTGAACAGAAAGAGTCAAAGTGTTGTGAACAAATCAGACATGGTCTTCTTCAGTGTCAGAAAGAACCCAACTGAGAGCTGATTGAAGGGTGTCCCCTCTTTTTCACTCTTCTGTCTGAAAAAATGAGGTCACAAATATATAATGTGAAGACGAGTCCAGTGTTGTGGCTTTAAAGTTACATACCCCAGCTTTAACTCCATGTGTTTGCCTTGAAATCTCTTTTGTTTTTGTTGCCCCTTTTCCCCTGAGCGTTTCACACGTGTATCACATGTTCTTGTGTTTTTTGAAAGAGTGAGATGTATGATCATAGAAAGATAGACCACAGAGATAGACCATAGAGAGACCACAGAGATAGACCATAGAGAGACCATAGAGAGACCATAGATAGACCACAGAGAGACCACAGAGATAGACCATAGCGAGACTACAGAGATAGACCATAGAGAGACCACAGAGATAGACCATAGAGAGACCACAGAGATAGACCATAGCGAGACTACAGAGATAGACCATAGAGAGACCACAGAGATAGACCATAGAGAGACCATAGAGAGACCACAGAGATAGATCATAGAGAGACCACAGAGAGAGACCATAGAGAGAAACCATAGGGAGACCACAGAGAGAGACCATAGAGAGACCACAGAGATAGACCATAGCGAGACCATAGAGAGACCACAGAGAGATGGACCATAGAAAGACCACAGAGAGATAGACCATAGAAAGAGAGACCACTCTGTCCTGTCTTATATTTATTTGAATTCATATATTCTTGTACAAACTGAATAAAACTCCCATCCACCATTTTTGTGTTTGGTTTAAAATGCCAGATCCGTGTTGGAGTATCTCACACCTGGACACGTGTCCTGTCACATGCTTGAACTTGCATCACCACTGACCTGACCCATGGATGAGGTTACCATGGCAACGTTGGCTGTGAACCCCCAGCAGAGAAGCCCTGCCCCTCTGCACTGGTTAGGGTCAGGCCGGGCCCACGCCTAGGGCGCCATCTGCAGGATGGGGCGTGAATTTGCAGTCTTATAATAATTATATACATAATCATATGGTGCTTTATACTTAATTTCATGTTTTAGAATGTGAAATAGTATCTTCAGTATAAAATATATGATGAAAAAAGTATATCAGGAATAGGGGTGCTTTAGCTCGATGCTACCACCAGAGGGAGGTATAGAATGTATTTTTTGTTTTTATCCTGGTTCTATTGGACTGCAATAGTAGGTGCTTATATGTACGTGCATGGAAGCTAAAAAATAACAATGGGAGTCCAAGGCAAAGCAATGTCTTCATGGAAACCCCTGACCAGAAAAGTTAGTGCAGCTTCATGAAACAAATCAGTATTTTAATACAGACTTTATAAACAGGGAGACGTGTGTTTTTGACTTAATGGTAGAAAAATGTAGACAAAAAAAAAAAAAGAAAAACTGACCTGTTCACACAAGCTTTAAACTTTTACCAAACAATATGTAACAGTCTTTTCTGTCTTTATTAGTAATGTTTCCACTTTAAAGAAGCAATATGTAAGATTTCCAGATCATTAAAGGGCCCTAATCTGTCAAAAGGCATCAATAAACTAAGATCTTTTCCAATACTTCTTTAAATGATAACAGAAGTTCAGAGATGTTTGGATTTGAAAATTAGTTTTACAGCCCCTTATTCTTGTTATTGTTTTCATTTCGATGTCACGCCCTCCACCGTTTTACCAATCGGAAAGTCTGAGATTAGGGTTGCCAGAACTCACCATGTCAAGCTAACGTATGTCCGCAAAACTAAAAAAGATTTTGTTATGTTTCTCAAATCAATAACGACAAAATGAGAAATACATTTTTATTGAAAAAGGTGTTGGTTGTAGATTTGTTGCTGACTAAACTCTTTATTATTATGGTCCCAGCTGGATTCGTCTGCATATCTGGCAACCTGAGTCAGGGAGAGTGCAGTACCACTTATGGCCAGATTTTTACATACTGCTCCTTTAAATATTTTTCAACTTGTGTTTTTTTATCTTGACATTCCCAGTAAAGTCATACCCCAACTCATGATCAACAGGTCAAATGGTGCATTTGTGGTCGCTAATAAAAACGGAAAGAAACTCTGATTGTTTTATTCTCTTTTTGACAAAACAAACTTTCATCAGCACAAATGTACATCGGTCCACGCAACACTCCAACACATTCACTCCAATAACAAGTCAGATATCAGTGCTTTAATGTAGGATACTTTCAGAGGGTGGGAGTGCACGAAGGCGCGTTCACACATGGTCTGGTTCACTTCAACTGGACCAACCCTGGTTCACATGGAGCAAAAAGGATAAAGTACACAGGTCACTGAACTCTTTGACTGCCATTGATGTATTTGTCTGAGACTGGTGATTTCTGCCAAACTTCCATCTATTCAACTTTTACAATTTTGGGCATTTCTGCTGTTGCCCGCTGCCCTCTGCTTCTGTGTGAACGTGCTGTGGGCGGGACATGGAGGAGGATGGTCTCTGATTGGTGGGATGGCAATTGTAGCAAGAAGAGAGTTTTAAACAGGGAGGATCTTGGCCTTCTCTATCTCTCTCTCTCTCTTGTTTCTCTCTCTGTCTGTCTCCCTCTCTCTCTGTCTCTCCATAAACTAGCTTTGAGTTCGGCCATTTTTGTAATACTTAATACTTACTCTATTTTGTTTTTCATTTCGTGTTTGAATGATTTCCTTTTCCTCGTTGTGATTTCTGTCTGGATGCGTAATCAGATAATATTGGTCTGGAGAAGCCGTATCATCCATGTGTGTGTTGTTGATTCTCTAACAGGTGCCAGAGTGGGGCGGCTGCGACTGTAAAGTGCCAAACTGTTGCTGTGTCCTTAGGCAAGACACTTCACCCACATTGCCTAGAATGAGTCTGGTGTGTGAATGGCAATGAACGAACACAGCCATTGGTCCACAGGGAGCAGGATGACCACTGTTCAGAAAAGTTTATAATGTCCGTAGATGTCGTGAATCATCACTGACCACCAGGAGTCAGGCCGTAGAACGATGAAAGTATAATCAAACACATTTCATTCATAAATGTGCTTTACCCAGGCCTCGCAGAGTCCCCAGGTGAGTGATCATGTAGTGGCTGATGGTGTGATTGGCCAGAGAGTCGAACATGCTGCTGAGCGCCGAGGCCCCGGCTGGCCCCTGGACTCTGTGGAGGAGGTGAGGAACAGGAGCCCCTGGACTCTGTGGAGGAGGTGAGGAACAGGAGGCCCCTGGACTCTGTGGAGGAGGTGAGGGACAGGAGGCCCCTGGACTCTGTGGAGGAGGTGAGGGACAGGAGGCCCCTGGACTCTGTGGAGGAGGTGAGGGACAGGAGGCCCCTGGGCTCTGTGGAGGAGGTGAGGGACAGGAGGCCCCTGGGCTCTGTGGAGGAGGTGAGGGACAGGAGGCCCCTGGACTCTGTGGAGGAGGTGAGGGACAGGAGGTGCTAGTCAAAGTCACCTCCATCATGGACAACACCTCCCACTGCACAGGACTGTAGAGGAGCTGAGGAGCTCCTTCAGTGGAAGAAGGAGCGCTCCCACAGGGCCTTCATCCCCACTGCTGTCAGACTGTACAATAAGTCACTTTAAGTCACTTGCATTAAGACTGAAAAACCTGCACTACTATTGACACTTTTTATTGTATATAATATATCCTGCATTTAACATGTTGCACATTTATTTCTTTAGCACAATCTTGAGTGTTTCTGTCCATGCCAGATGTGACATGTACATTTGTCCAGTGTGAGATCAATGAAGTCTATCTAATCTTATCTTAAATGTAGTTCTACAGTTGATTAGCACAGGTTTAACTATATTGTATCAATCAATCAATCAATCAATCTTTATTTATAGGGCGCTTTTCCTGCACAGGGCAACACAAAGCGCCTCACAGTCCACACCACACAATGCACAAATCATCACCATTAAAATACAATTAAAAACACATATGTAATTAAAAAGCATTAAAATCACATAAGTAATTTAAAAACATAAGAATCACACAAGTAATTAAAAACAATAAAATAGTTAAAAACACAAAAAGTTACAACAATAAATAACAAGGTGTGTTAAAAAGATAAAATTCTCTAGTTGTATGCACAGGAAAAAAGAAAAGTCTTTAACATGGATTTGAACATTGACAGAGAGGCAGCCAGTCTCACATCCTCAGGAAGACTGTTCCAGACTTTAGCTGCATAAATCTGAAAAGCAGCCTCCCCCTGTCTAGTCCTGACTCTGGGCACTAACAGGAGTCCCGTCCCTGCGCTCCTCAGAGTCCGGGCTGGTTCATATGGGACTAGCATATCATGGATGTACTTTGGTGCAAGGCCATGGAGAGACTTGTACACCAGGAGAGCTGCTTTAAAGTCTATCCTCTGGGCCACGGGAAGCCAGTGCAGAGACCTGAGGACCGGACTAATGTGGTCGTACTTCCTGGTTCTAGTCAGGACTCGGGCTGCAGCATTTTGAATATACTGCAGCTGTTTTACTGCATGTTTGGAGATACCTGTGAGCAGGCCATTGCAGTAATCCAGCCTACTGGAAACAAAAGAATGGATAAGAATCTCCAAGTCTGCCCTGGACACAATATTTTTAATTTTGGCAATATTTTTCAGATGATAAAAAGCTGCTGATGTTACCGATCCAATGTGGCTATTGAAGTTTAAGTCAGAGTCCATTATTACTCCCAGATTTCTGACCTTATTTAAAGGCCTTAGGGAGAGAGACTGAAGGTGACAAATGACGGTCTCTCTTTGTTTCTCGGGACCAAAGACAATCATTTCGGTTTTGTCCGCATTT